TAAAACAATGTGCATAACAGACATTTTTTTACAGTCCAATTAATTCCTAAAGGATAAAATCTAGTTCTTCCCTACACGTTTTCTCGTTGAATATCCTGTTTTACTCAGAAGTCGAAAGGGTTACGATGCTGGTTCATGTTGACTTTAACAACTGTGAGATGGCAAAAGGAGTCACTCCCAAAATGTGACTTTTACAGTAAGTCAGCATGTTCAGTCTGAACTGAGATACTGAGAGATTCCAAGATGAAGCTGAAGTTTTCTCACCATCACGACAGATTAAGATCAGATTGCAGTTTCTTGCTCTTCAACAGATGCAACTGTTAAATACACACAAGACAATCAAGCCTTTACTTGTACAGGTATGTATGTTTTCTCTCTGTTTATTGTTTATCAACTACCTACCTTCATCTTTTACATATATTTAATCCAGCGGTTCTCAATTCTAGTCCTCACGCCCCCCCCCGCTCTGCACATTTTGCGTGTATCTCTTATTGCTTCAGACGTTTCTTCAAATTGAATGTAAGTGCCCTGCGAAGTGGACATCACAGGATATTCTGCCATGATTCCAGTTCAAAGCGAACGTATATGTTGCATTTAAAAGGTCATTAAAGTGTACGAGATGTGAATTTAAATTGTATTTATTTACAGATACATTTATGTCACACTTCACGTTCTAGTAAGTTTTGTCCGTCTGTGAAGACACTGCAGGCAGTGGCTTAGCGCAAATGTGAATGAATGTTCCGAAGAAGTAAACTTCACCGGATTTCACCTGCTCAGGGAGTAGGAAGCAATGAACAATGTGTAGGGATCGTGTCGGGGGAGGAATGAGGAGCTATGGGAGAATGACTGGAATTGAGAACCTCTGATTTAATCAAATTTGACTAGAAAAGAAAAAACAAAAAATCATGTTATTTGTCAGTGAGGAAAGATGTGTATTTGTAGAGTGAACGGATTTCTTTTGCAGATTCAATTTAACAGATTTGTATTACAGCAATTTTCACAATGAATGCTGTTTCAAAGCAGCTTTAGTGAGCACCTTACAAACCCAAAGCATGACAAGCTTAAACATTTCTTGAAATTATGCCTCTTTTTTTGCAAAACTGTAAACACAAATCCATAACTTCTAACTCGATTCCCCAAACTTCCTATATCAAAATGAAGTTCTCCACTCAAAACAACTCGCTCTTGCTGAAAAACCAAACTTTGCTCTCAGACATGACACACAAACCCTCAAAAACACACACACACTAGAACATAGTCGTACACACTGATGAGATCAATTGAAAACAATGCTACAAAAACCGTAATAAGTTGCGTTGCTTGTGGTCCCCTCCCCAAAAAAACTAAAAAAAAATTCACATCATGAACACAACAAAAGGCACAACAAAAATGCAATACATGCATTTACATTTAATCATTTAGCAGAGGTTTTTATCCAAAGCGACTTACAAATGAGGACAATAGAAGCAATCAAAACTAACAAAATAGCAACAATATGTAAGTGCACATGAAAAGTGTCGGTTATCATAACGGTACACGTAGCAAGGTATATATATAGCTAGTATGTTTTTTTTAAATAAAAAAAGATGATAAATAGATAAAGTAGAATTAAAATAGAATAGAATAGAAAGTGCTGAAGTTAGAGGGTCAAATAAAGATGGAACAGATGTGTTTTTAGTCGTTTCTTGAAGATGGCTAAGGACTCAGCTGCTCGGACGGAGTTGGGCAGGTCATTCAACCAGGAGGGAACAGTTAATGAAAAAGACAGTGAAAGTGATTTTGTGCCTCTTTGGGATGCACAATAATGTGCCGTTCACTTGCAGAACGCAAGCTTCTAGAGACACATAACTCTGAAGTAATGAATAAACAATATTTTCTATGTCTATGAAAACTATAAAAATAATTTTTTTAATGAGAATTTTTGTTTTGATTAAATCTATATTTTTTTGTTTGGATCAAAAATAAAATTTAAATTAATTGACTTTCTTCAACAAGAAAAATGTACTTTGTGCCAGGTTTTAAAAAATAGTTTTCATAAACAGAGAAAATATTGTTTAGGGCAAGTTATTTATTTTTCATTGGCTCAAGTTAAAAAATATAGATGTGATTGGTTCAAGAACTGAGCCCTGAGGCACCCCGGTAGCTAGATGTTGCGACTTGGACACCTTACCTCTCCAAGATACCTTGAAGGACCTATCTGAGAGGTAAGACTCAAACCACTGGCCTGCTGTTCCTGAGATGCCATTTTCCAATAGGGTTGATAGGAGAATCTGGTGGTTCACCGTAAACAAGGAGTTGTGTTGCATGTTCTGAAAGAAAGGGCCTGATCTTCCTAATGTTGTATAAAGCAAATCTGCAGGACCGGGCAGTTTTAGCAATGTGGTCTGAGAAATTCAGCTTATCATCAATCACAACTCCAAGGTTTCTAGCTGTTTTTGAAGGAGTTATGGTTGATGAGCCTAACTGGATGGTGAAATTTTGATAAAGTGATGGGTTTGTTGAAACCACAAGCAGTTCTGTCTTAGCCAGGTTGAGTTGAAGGTGATGGTCCGTCATCCAACAAGAAATGTCTGTTAGACATGCTGAGATGCGAGCAGCTATCGTCGGATCATCAGGATGGAATGAGAGGTAGAGTTGAGTGTCATCAGCATAGCAGTGATATGAAAAGCCATGTTTCTGAATGACAGAACCTAGTGATGCCATGTAGATAGAGAAGAGAAGTGGTCCAAGTACTGAGCCCTGAGGCACCCCAGTAGCTAGATGTTGCGACTTGGACACCTCACCTCTCCAAGATACCTTGAAGGACCTATCTGAGAGGTAAGACTCAAACCACTGGCGTGCGGTTCCTGAGATGCCATTTTCCAATAGGGTTGATAGGAGAATCTGGTGGTTCACCGTATCAAAAGCAGCAGACAGATCCAGCAAAATAAGTATAGAAGATTTGCCAGTCTTAGGGCTTCAACAACTGAAAGCAAGGCAGTCTCGGTCGAATGTCCACTTCTGAAGCCAGATTGGTTGCCGTCCAGGAGGTTGTTCTGTGTGAGAAAGGCAGAGACTTGGTTGAACAACTCGTTCAAGTGTTTTTGCAATGAAAGGTAGAAGGGAAACTGGTCTGCAGTTCTCTAAAATAGTTGGGTTAAGAGTGGGTTTAGAAGTTGGATTATATGAGCCTGTTTAAATGTTGAGGGAAAAACACCAGTGTGAAGGGATGTGTTAATGATGTGAGTGAGTGCAGGTTCAATGGCAGGAGAAATGGCTTAAAGGAGATTAGATGGAATAGGATCAAGCGGACAAGTAGTAGGATGATTGGAAAGGATGAGTTTAGAGACTTCTGCCTCAGAGAGTGGAGTGAAGGATGAAAATGAGTGTATATTTACTGGTAAGATGTGTTTGACAGTTTGTGGTGTGGCAAATTGTGCACTGAGGTTTGTAATTTTATTAATGAAGAATGTGGCAAAGTCTTCAGCTGTTAGAGTTGATAAAGGAGGGGGAGGAGGGGGACTAAGGAGGGAGGAAAATATTTTAAAGAGCACGCGAGAGTTAGGCGAATTGTTAATTTTGTTGTGATAGTATGTCCTTTTAGCAGTGGAGACATTAGCAGAGAATGAAGAGAGGAGTGATCGATATACACTAAGGTCAGTAGGATTTTTGTAATGTACTATAGGAGTACAGTACAATACAGCAAACAACAACAAAAATTATTATTCTGCCCCAGCATTCCGTTTTTGGTCTGGGACAGGTCAAATGACCTCGTCAACATCACAGGCTATATTGGTCCTGGCCAGGCAGTGGGGTAAAATCCTCTTGCATGCCTGATCCAACCCTGGCACACATCAACTGAAATATCTGAGACTGCTTGTTTTCTTGCCCTTCCCATTCCTCTTCCATGCGGTCGTCCTCCTCCTCTTCCTTCTCCTCTTCCTCTCCGTACTTCTCCTCCTCTTCCTTTATTTCTTTCTCCACTCCCCACTTCTCCTCCTCTCTGGTGTCCTCTTCCTTCACATCTCTCTGGATCCATTGTTTTGCACCTGAATGAGCTGACTTTGGCCCTTGGCTATCTATCCATCAAAGGTTCTGATTGGTGTGTGATGAATTTTGACTCCTAGTGTTTCCGCTTGGGTAATTGCATGCTAATTGAGCTCAAACTGTGGTGACTTGAGTGAACAATATTGAATGCTAGTGCTTTCTAAATGACCACATGGCGTAAGCACTGAGAAATATAGGGATTTGTGTGTAGAGTTTTGCAGTAACAGTTCACCAAATCTGACTCATGTGCCAAAGCAGGGGAATAGTATTTATAGTTTAGGGAAATGGGTGTGCTTTTTAAAAAAATGGCATTATGGTTTTGAAATTTTAGTTCAAATGCCTGGTTATAGTGTTTTAGCAATCAAGAAAAACTGTAAAGATGATGACCAATTTGGCGTTTAACTGAATATAATGTAATAAATCAGACAGACATTTACCTCTCATCCTGCAGCATTTGAAAATCATCACGACTGTCACTAACAAATATGGACAAACTGCCAGTACAGAACTGAGTGTGTGGAGGACAGAGATCGGAGATCCTGAATGAGACACTGAAGAAGAGACACACAAGCACTTTATCAAGCACCATATCTGAACGAGAACATTAGAAGAAATCAACCAGCTCACAGTTTCATTGACTCTCACCTGTGACTGAGATCCAGCTCTTGGGTGACTCCCCTCTCTCTGGGTGTTTGCAGTAGTAGAAACCCTCATGTAGCTTTGAGACAGTAGAGATGATCATCTCTGTAGTTTGATTCTGGATGAGTGACCCATCTTTATAGAAATCAGCTCTGAGGTTTAATGAGGTTGTATTTTGATCTAAACAGCGTAGAGTCAGAGTATCTCCTTCGGTCACCGGATGAACAGGATTCTCCAGAATCACACCAACTACAGAAACAGAGCAAACATCAACTGACAAATAGTAAGAATGTATCAACAGTGTGGTGGTAACAACAACAACAATAATAATAATCATAATGCATTTTATTTAGAGATGCCTTTCAAAACACTCAAGGACTCCTCAATGACAACTTAATGACAATCATAAAATACAAGACCGTAATACATTCAAAGCAACATCTATTCAACATTAAAGATAACCCATAAATTAATATTAATCAGTAAACGCTCATTTAAAAAGATGAGTTTTAAGACATGATTTTAAAGTAAGAAGACAATCACTTTCACATAGAATTTGTCAAAGTGCAACGGACAGGAACGTGACAATGAAGATCTAAACGTGAGCTTTTATTAAAACAGATCATAGTCAACACAGGCAGGGTCCAACACCAGCAAACAACTACATCCAGGGCAAGGCAAAAGAGTAATCCAATACAGGCAGTGGTCAGGGCAGGCAGCAAACAATCACAAAAACAAGGAAACAGTCCATAGTCCAAAAACACAGGCAAGGCAAGATAAACATGGAATATGCTCAGAAACGTCCACTAACAGTGGAACAAGCCTGCATCCTAATGGGCATTCTATCCATCCTAAATTCTATGTGATATTGGTAATTTTCAATACTATTTAGGGCAGATAGGGTGGAAAGTATGCACATTGGTACGCAGGGCATGCCTTCACGATCAGAGCGTGTTTGTGTGCATCTTTTATAATCCTCCAGACAGGAAACAAGGGTGTAGTTCCTAGGCATGGGGTGTTGTGGGAAATGGAGTCCAGAAACAGTGGCAAAGGTCTGGGATGGAGTGCCCTCTAGAGGAGCTCATTGGCAGTCCAGCTGGACATCTTGACAAAAAAAAGAGTACCATAATCGAGGAGCAGCACAGCTGAATGCTCTGAACGACATAGTGGTGAAATTAACAGGAGGAATAACAAGAGAAACACACAAGGAAGATCTAAGAGTGTAAATGTGAATTAGGGATGTGCACATCAATGCTGGAGTATCGATATATCGATACTCAGAAGCTTCTAATTTGGTATCAATATTTTCTAAAAAGTATTGATATTTTAACTATATGAATAATTTCTGCATAACTAAATGTTTTTAGCACTGTGTACAGGATGGTCGATGACGGTTTGTATATAGGACGTTACACACTGATCAGTCTGCAGCGGAATGCGAGCAATCATGTGCCATTCAGCTACGTACTCAACAAACATGCACACTTCCGCATTAAACAGAATGGCATGATGGCAGAAAGGAAACGTAGCATGGTGTGGTGCTACTTCTTAACAGTGGAAAAAAATATATTGCACGATGCAATATTTGTGATAAGAAAGTCACACACAGCAACAATACAAGCAGCCTTTTTAAACACTTACAGACAACACACCCTGAAACTTATAAAGAGGCGGAACAAAAACAAGCTGCCAAGTTTTACAGGAGAGTTTTAAGGGAGGCAAACACTATCCAGGTACAAAGAGCACAGTAAGTAGTGAACTTATTAACTGTACTCCCGCTCCCTCTCTCTCTCTCTCTCTCTCTCTCTCTCTGAGTGCATGCTGGGAGCGAGTGGGCAGAGCTGGATGTGTGTGGAGTGAGAGCGTTTGCCTGCGAGTTGAGTGAGTTTTTCTATCTTTTTCTATCCTTTTATTATATTCGGGTAGAGCTGTTGGTGATTTGTTTCAGGGGTTTTGCTACAGTTAAAGAAAGTAAGGCGCTGAATGAACAGCGCAATTGTTTTGTCCTTAGATGACGTAAATAAAGTTAATGAGATCATTGCGAGTGGAATCGTCATAAACAAGGCTTATACAGCAGTAAAGCCTTTGATGCAACCAGCGAAAAATCTCATTCAATCAATCAATCAATCAACATTTATTTATATAGCACATTTAAAACAACACCAGTTGACCAAAGTGCTTTACATGTCTAAAAAGTACTCAAACAAACATAATGCACACAATATCCATCACTGCTCAGTATCCCAAAAGCTAGGGTCAACTGTATGCCACAGAGTAAAGGTGTGTTTTCAACATTGATTTAAAACAGTCAAATGAGTCACATGATCTAATGTGCAATGGGAGACTATTCCAAAGACGTGGGGCTGCCACAGAGAAGGCTCGATCACCTTTGGTTTTCAACCGTGATCTGGGAACTGTAAAAGCAGACTCTGTGATGATCTTAGAGGTCTAGCAACACAGTGCTGCTGTAACAGACATGAAATGTACTCTGGAGCAACACCAGTTGACCAAAGTGCTTTACATGTCTAAAAAGTACTCAAACAAACATAATGCACACAATATCCATCACTGCTCAGTATCCCAAAAGCTAGGGTCAACTGTATGCCACAGAGTAAAGGTGTGTTTTCAACATTGATTTAAAACAGTCAAAATGAGTCAAATGATCTAATGTGCAAGGGGAGACTATTCCAAAGACGTGGGGCTGCCACAGAGAAGCCTGGTCCACCTTTGTTTTCAAACCGTGATCTGGGAACTGTAAAAGCAGACTCTGTGATGATCTTAGAGGTCTAGCAACACAGTGCTGCTGTAACAGACATGAAATGTACTCTGGAGCAAGGCCATGCAAACCTTTAAAAACCATTATCAAAACTTTATATTGGACTCTAAAATCAACAGGAAGCCAGTGCAGCGAAGCCAGCACTGGAGAAATGCTGGACCACTTCCTTAGTGCCAGTCAACAGTCTAGCTGCAGCATTTTGTACTAGCTGCAGCCGTGAGAGCAGATTCTTAGACAACCCTAAATATAATGAGTTGCAATAATCCAATCTGGATTAAATAAAAGCATGACAAACGGTAGGGCTGGGTATCGAGTTCGATACTTTTTAGGCACCGACCGAATTGCCTCGATACCATCGAGTATCGAAAAACGTCTCGTCGTTCGGTACCAAATTTCGATACCTAAGGGGTTAATCTCATCAACGCCAGTAAGGTGCAGATCGATCAGTGTTTGACACCCGCGAGAGCGATGCGAAAACGTACGGAGCAGTCTGCTCGTGGTATCTTACTATAGCCTAATACACCGATAGGTCTGCACAGTCGGTCCGCGACTGTGACACTCAGAGATGTGGCTCACACGTGAGTATTTAGTGTGAATGCGTCCCAGCCCCCGTAGCTGTAAGGCTACATTTACACTGGTGCGCTTTTGTTTTAAAATGAAAACGATCCTGGTCTTATATTATTTGTTATATTTGGGAGGTCTGTATAAAAGTGCAAAAATCACAGGCCTAGTCAGATCCACTTTAAAAACTTGAACTTCAAAACAAAATAATAATGAAAATTAAATAATAATAATAATAATAATAATAATAATCCTTTGGGAGAACACTCCCACCCTGACCCCCTGTCCTTGGAGAGTTCAAGGAAGAAAAGTCACAAGGAGAGGCTTCAGCAAGAGAGTCCTGATCACCCTCATTAAGCCACGTCTCAGTCATAAAAAGAAAGTCCAGGCCATGTGAAGAGATAAGATCATTAATTAAATTTTTTTTTATTAATAATAGACCTGATATTTATCAGGGCCATTTTCACAGACAAATCGACAGAAGCCTCATTTCGATACGTTGGAGGCACATATTCCAAAGTACGAAGGTTATCAAAATAAATCCCCCTCTTCTTTGAATGACGTCGAATAATTTTGAATCCCGATGACACTTCCCGACAAGGGGAAACAACCGCAACCAGCTCAGAGTACCTTAGATCCCAGAGTCGCAGTGAGAGATACTGGAATGCAAAGTCGAGGTCATCCACCACTGAACTTGCGTGTCCGGCCAGACCAGCAGCGAAGGCACACGAACGTGCAGTCCTCAGTCTCACCAGCACGCCTTCTCGCTTGCCCCGTCTCCTGCTACGTTTCCTTCAGTATTGGAAACAATCCATGAGCCCGCACCAGTTCTCCGAGGCACACGCCGTGTACGGAGGATCGCATGTCTTATGACCACCCGAGTGCCAACTAGAAGCCACAACAGCCGACTTTCTAAGACTTAGCAGGAACTCGTGCTCATACACGTGAAGCGAGCTGACTCGGTGCACGAGCAGTGATGAAAACAGGACAAGAACAGGTAACACGTAGGACACACACAACAGACGGCAAGCCGAATTACACACAGGCGCCATCTTGGAACATTTAAAATAAAAATGTGTTAAGTCTTATGCTGCATTCAAGTCCTCCTGGGACGTTCGTACTTACGAGTTGACAAGTCGTAATTACGACGTCAGGTGCGTTCAAGTCAGTTTAGTCGGCACAAGATGGCGGTGTACCTAATTTTAATAAATTACAAGAAAATACAACAGGGTCTGTTAACTCTGCTTATAGAAAATGAAGAGCAAAGAATTCGCATCAGGTGTGTTTTGCATTTTTTATATTT